TGTACGCTGAGGAAACCCTAACGGAGGGCTAAAAGCTGGGTTGGATTTGCTTAGGTGGCAGGATGACGTTTGGTGGAAAAGTGCTAGCTGGGTCCTACTTTGTAACCCATGAAATCAGGAGTTTTTAAGTATGTTACGCCTTCTTTTGACTTTTTAGTGAATAAAATGATGTTTATTGGACTGTAGGATATATGGACTGGCAGAAGCACTGACATGGGTGTCCAGAGCTGTGCAGATACAGTAGCGCTGTATGTGAGCGCTGGGATGCTTTCACTCCGCTGTCTGCAAGCTTGGTGGTTCCTGCCCAGCCCTCTGGTGGTACCGGTCTCATCACGGCTTCATCTGAGTGGGGCTTGGGGTAAATCTGATGGCTTGGGTAGGAGCTGTAGCTGAGCTATGGCACTCAAGCTGGGGATTTCTGCTGTGGGAAAGACAACCAAATAAATAAATGAAAAGTGAAAGATGGATGAGCTGGAATGAGCTGTGAACCGACAGCTTTGTGACCGGTTTTGACTTATTTCCTTTTTGCGGTCTGAAGCTGAGTGCCTCATAAATTCTGAAGACATTGAAACTGTAACTAACACAGCTGAAACCATCCTAGGCTTGCTGGAAATATGAAGAGCAGGACTGTAACTAGAAGACAAGAGACAGCTAAAAGGGAATGAGTTCTCCCCCCCAAGAGATATTTTTGTGTATTTACTTCAGTTTTGACATTACAAGGTCAAATCAGCACACTGACACAATTGTGGGCATTCGGGGTCACACAGTGACGGCTCCCACAATCTAATATGGACCTAAAAATGAAAATAGTTTCACAGTTTATGGTTCTGGGGTATTTTACTGACTGATCTTAAAGATCCTGGGATCCTCAGATAGATACCTGCTAACCGTCTCACGCTCGGTCAGCCACGAGGTGGCACACAGTAGACACCGTTTGGCAACCACCGAGCAGCCCGCTGGTCTCGGGGGCCATTTGGTGCTTTGATGACTGGGTAGGCAGGAGGGCTGTGGGCTTTTCATGGGTGGACAATGTAAAATGAGAGCAGCCACATAGGGTCTGGTCAGAGCCCGCATCCAGTCCAGTGCTGCGCTCCTGACCGTGGCCAAAAATGGGACGAGCCATAAGAATGGGTCAAGCAGTTTGCAGCTGAGAGGAGCCCTGAACTTGGGTGACTAGCTGTGTGTCTCAGAGCTCGGGGGGCAGCTGTCTCCCACAAGCCTGTCCTAGATCTTTTAAATCCATATAAACATCTGCAACACCCTCTGGCAGGACCCTCAGCTTAACTCTCAATGAAGGTTATTTAGTGAGGAGCTGGGGAAAAGAATTAGAAAATAAACTATGGTAACTACTCCAGCTGCAACTTGCTGCCTAGCATCACGCAATGACCAACAAACCGGCTCTCCAGGGTACATGCAAGCGAGGGCTGCTAATTTTCCAGTGGCATCAGTTCACTGTGCAATCGCGCGCAGCAGTTTCCTGGCTGCCATCAATTCCTTTTGTTGTTTCCTCAGAAGAGCCACAGGGCAGCTGACGCCCAGCAATGAATTCCAGAAAAGTACTAGCTTGTCAGACGGTTGGGTTCTGGTTTTTTTTTTTCCCCTTTGCAGAAACTGTCTCTAAATAACGCAGTTTTGTAATACGCATTAGAAGCTTGGAGTGGATTCCCAGGAGCCCCACATTTGCTAAGCTGAAGTCTGGCATCCACAGCAGGACAAGCTGCTTACCCAGAAATGGGTATGCCTGAAAACTGTGCATCTTGTACAAGTCTCCAACAGCTACTTTGGGTGTTGATGTGTACATTTTTGTGCATCAATAGCAGGCTGGTCCAAAGGTTTACCCCCTCTTGTCTTTGGGTGGAACCAGTTTGTTCTGGCTTGCTCAGAGAGGGGCAATCTCCTGAGTGCTGGCCTGGTATGTGCTTTCTGTACTTGTAGCCTAGGTAGGCTGTAGGTCAGTCCTCTGAATCCTTCCTGGTGGTTATCTTAGCTTTACCATTTTTATACATTTATGCCAAACAAGCAGGCATTATAAAATATTTGCCGCCTTGCCCTAAATCAGTCTTGTGCTACATCTGGGTGCAAGACAAGCAGGATGTGGTTCCTTCATAGGAACCCTCCTGCTCCCCTTCCAGCCCCGCTTTCCATCCTTATGTAGTTCACGTACCTCATCCGTGCATGCCAGCGCTGCATTCTGGCTGCGTCAAGCCTCTTATCAGAACATGGTTGATCTTTAAACATATTTCTCTGAGTAATTTTAGATACTAGAAACCTGCTTCGAATTCAGCAGGGGAGGTACCACCTTTCCTCATCCAGAGAAACATCTCGAACCTCACCTGAGAGTAAAAATGGAATAGAGGTGGAGACCTGGCTTAAATGGTCTGAGCCACCTTCCTCACCAGCAATGGCAGAAGACAGGGAACCTTCTTCAGTGCTGCAAAGTTTCATGCAGAAATACTGCTGTGGGAACATGCCCGAGGGTATGTAGCATCCACGATTGCCTTCGTGCTACCAAAACCTCACTACTCGGCCAGCTGTAGCTGTATGGCAGTATCTGGTTTCAGGCACTGTATTAAAAATACAATAATCATAACTTTCTAGAAGCCACCTTTAAAGCAGTAAATTAAGAGGTGCCAAGAATGGAAACTTGCCTGCCCTGTCGGTTTGTTAGGACAGGCTGCGGCACGCTTCTGGCCAGGCTGACAGCCTTCCCTGGTGGGGCTTGAAAGCTGGTGTGGGACGCGTTTGGTGCCAGTTTGGGTGCCACTGCCCTGGTTTGGAAGGTAAGACAGTCCGGTAGTGCACACAGGCCACTTCTGTAAGGAACAAACCGGATCAGTTCTGGAGCCTCAGTCTAGTTCTAGGTCTGCAAAGCCTTGCCACAGCGCTCCGTCTGCCCCATCTGATAGTGTTACTTTTCTTCTTGGCTTTTTTTTTCTTCTTCCTTTTCTTCTGCCCTTTCCTTCCTGGGAAAAGAAGTAACCTTTCTCTAAGGATAAGAATCTTTATCCTCTTTTGCAAGGCAGAAGAAATCTTCAGGGCTTTCAGCTATATAAGCCTAATTTGTCAGGTTTTTTTCCCCCTCCCCATCTCTCTTAATGGATCTCTTATGCATTTATAATGTACTCGGCACCATGGTATCTAGGGACCTTATACACAATTTATAAAGCAAACATTTTTTTTTTTTGCAAAAAGTTTCTACTTCTGGCTATTGCCAATCTCTGAATCAGGCTGCTCTCTTTGATTTGCAAAGGAAGCCGAGCCGTCTGTTTTAGTCTCCTGACACAAACTGTCTTACAGTACCCTGGCTTTGCATTTGTGGGATGGCAGAGTCAGGTTCAGGTTGATTTATTTTAGCAGCTATTAACTATAGAACTGTCTGTAATCAACAGAGCTGGCCACATTTCTCCATCAGCCTCAACACGGGCTGAGTCAGCACTGGCAGCTCCCTGGCTCCGCGCAGAGCGCCATCCGAGGTAAGAGCCCAGAATGTTTCAACGCACAGTGAAGTGGCCATACAGAGAAAATAATTCTGACAAGGAGCAAAGTTTTAAATTTCCGTGCCACTAGCTGCAAGCAGCTGGATGCTGCAGGTACCTGCTGGGAATAGGTTCCTGCTCAGCACCCTGAGGAGTCTGGCCGCTGCCTTGCAGGGTGACCAACCCTTCACAAGCGCCTAAGGCGCGCATCTGGGTGTGCGAGGACGTTGTGCTCGTTCTGGGACCGGACCTCAACAGGTGAGCTCTGTAATACTGATAGCCTTACTCGGATCCAGCTTCCCCGTCTCCGGTACAAGACAGCGGTAATAGCGTATTTGTATTTTACTCCACAGCGGGAGCGGGCAATGCATGCAACAGCGATGGAGACCGGCCGGGTGCAGCGCTGGCGCAGTGGGCAACACTCATCAAAGCCATCACGCACTTCTTGCTCCACATCAACGTGCTCAAATTTTTCTGCTACACTTGTTTTCCAACACTAATATATAACAGCACCTAAGGAGAAACATTATTTGAGCATCCATATGCCTACTTACACTGACTTTTATTTCCTAGGTCACTAAAAAAGCTGACCAAAACCCACCTCCAAAACCCCACAAGCCTTGCCACATGGATGCAGACATACCTTGTGTTGCCTGACTCCATTCATAGAGACTTGGAACGGCTGCAGGGCAGCACTGAGGGCGAGCTGTGCTGCTCTCTAGGGCTACCTCTGGATTTGAGACTGAACAGAAAGGAACTACAGAAACTTAATAAAAAAGGAACACTGCTTAGTAAGTTGCAAAAGTAATGGCTTCAATCGCGAATTAGAAGGGAAAGTCAAAACTACAGAAGTGCCACTGCGCCTTCACTGCACTCAGCTGCCAGCGGTGCAGTGCCCTTCCCCGCAGCGCTGGACACTGGCTGACCGCCACCATGCCCCTCGCCCCTCCTCACGCTGCTGCTCTGCCTCTCCTCCCTTTCCCAACGAAGCCTCCCGAGAGGCGCACGGCTCAGCCCCGGCCTGTCAAGAGCAATGCCAGGACTGTGTCATGAGTAGGGAGGGCAGGAACCTCCCCGGCATCTTCCGAGAGGAGCAGATGTGCAGGTCCGACCTCCTCCTCATCGGCAGGGTCAGGGTCCTTCCCAGGCTTGATCTCTCTCAGCCGGGAACCCTCCATTAACTGTAGAGTCAGACCTGACTGGAGATGACAAGTTTGACTAAATACAAATACTCGTGTAAATGAAGTCTTGAATTAAGGCTCTGTAAAATCACACCTCAAAGCATAAAGAACGTTTTTACCAGCTTGTTGAGTAAGTGATAAAAAAATGACAAGATGAAAGGTGTTGATAATTTAAGCTGGTATTTCTAGTTTCTATTAAATTGTTAAACTACAGATGATCCTTAGAGTATTTTCAGTAAAATCTGTTGCAATTTCTAGCTAAAAAACCACTCTGAAACCAGTTGTACAGAAAATCCCAATGTAATTCAAGAGGGAACACAGTAATTTTGGAAGTGATCGCGGCATAAACAAAAACATGAAATGGAAAGGAGCATCCAACCCAGCAAAATGTATTTAAGCGATATCACAAATACACCAAAAAGTTTATTTACAGATCTAAAATTGGTATGTCCAGTAAAAATCCTCCCACAAAAAAGTATTTATAAAGAAGAAATTTAACCCAGTTACATTGTCTGCTGCTGGCAACAAAGGTGCTTCATAACTAGCATAGCTTTCATTACGCCTTTGCAAGAGAAAGGGAAAAGTTAATAAAGGTGAAGAAATTATTTCTGGGAAAAACTCGAACTGAAGGCTGGACAACAAACGACAAGGCGTACAAAGCACAAGGAACTGCAAATATGTAACTCTGGTAGTGCAAAAATGAAGAAGAATGGCTTTTTTTCCCCCAATACTTGTTCAGAGAAAAACACTCCTGTGAATTTGCAATTCCTTTTAAAGACTTAAGTTTGTAGGACTTAGTGCATTTTCATGTCTCAGCAAGGCTGATACTATACAGGAGGTAAATGAAACAAAGTCCAGGTAAAATTACTGTCATGATATAAATTTGTCACAACCTTTACAAAAAAATGCCTGAATACACAGTACAGAGATAAGCCTTTGAAAAACAAGTTTAGATTTTCTCCATCCAGACAATTAATTGCTAAGCACATGACTGCTAAAGAAAACCAACTCGTATGGAAATGACAGAATATGTAACATTCTTTGGAATTAGATTTCAATTTCCCTTTCAGGCATTGCCCGTGTTTCGTACAGGGAACAGCGGAGGGGTAACTCCTCGTGCCTCGCTGGGGTTAGGAGCTCCCGCTGTGTTGTCCCTCGGGGACGTGCCTGGGGCTGGGCAGAGACCGCGGAGCTGCACAAGTGCCAGGAGCCGGAGAACTCCACCTCCACCTGGGAACGTGGGTCACGGTAGGACGCCGTGGTATTAGTTGGTGTAGAAGCAGGGAATTAATGCCATTGCATTCCTGAGGCTCTTCATCCTGCACCCTGGGATTTATTGTGTTTTGAAACACACGAGACAGTCTCTTTGTCCAAAAAGGCCTCACAGTTTTGAATGGCTGTAAACATTTCTTTTAGTTTAAATCAGCATTTTCATCATGCCTTTGCTGCTTAAAAAAAATAGTAAAATCAAAAGTAGGAATACCTTAGCTCATGTTAGAACCATTATCCAATTCAGAAAACTTGAGTTCTTTAATTGAGAAAACTGAAACAAATCTGCAAACACGTGATTAGTTTTGCAAATAATATTTTTGCTATATTCTTAGCTGACTCTTTATGCAACTTTCAGCAAACTGCTGAAGATCACCTAGTCTATCCTAGAGAAAATCTAACAGTTTGCTAAGTAAGCTGGAAACCACTTAATGAACGGAGGCAAACGATCAGCACCAACTGTTGTGTTTGTTCCCCCCAAAGCCAGGCCCATCCCTGCACTGCAGAAGGGATACTCCATTTTAGTCTGCTCGCAGTCCCAGGACAGGTCAGGAGCCCCCCACTTTTCCTGTTCCCCTTGATGTACAAAAAGAAAGATACAGATGATGTTCATAAAAAGGTAACAGTGGCAGGTACAGAGTAAGATGTACCCATTATAATTAGCAGAAGCGTTACGGTTGATGTCCAAAGCTTTTCCAAAACAAAACCGACCAACTTCTTGACTTTCAAATGTTCACAGGATGACCATCAGGTATTACAGTGTTACTTTAAGGGGACTTTCTTAAAAATTGCTAGTGCTCAAGTTGGAACAGTTTATGATGCAATCAGATGAACTTTTACTGAAATAGCAGTCAAACTAATGGTGATTTTAGAAACCAAATGATTGCCTTTATGCAATCTTCCTTCTCTGTACTCACGGGTTGTTGGCCAGAAATGGCTGAAAATTACTTCTGCAGAGGAGGCAGTGCTGCTTTTCTGCAACCTGACAGATGCTCGTTCAGCCTAACTTCAAGTGTCCAATTTATGTGCTTGATCGAGGAGCTTATGTACCCAGCCCAGGCTCCAGAGGAGGACTTAGAACAGAAGTGCTCTAGGATTATTAAACAGACATAAGGGATTTGTCTGCTTGACCTTTGGCATACAAAAGCAAAACAAACATAAATCTAATAGGCACAATCACAGGAAAATTCATCCTAAAATAGAGATCAAATGAGTCTTCCTCTAGAAATATTTAATTCTCTTTGTTAAGGAGCAGTGGAGCACTTCAGGTCACTGGCATGGATCCAGACATCTAGCTTTCAGACACTGGAATTTAAATGAGATGACTCCTACCTCAGGCTCCCACATTAGGAACTTAGGCCGGATACCTGAAATTAGATGGTAAGGTTACTCTCTGTCCTTACTGAGAACTGACTCCTCTTGAATCCGTGACAGAACTGCAATCACAGCGTGTACTTAGAGAAGACCCAATGGAACTGAGTCTTGGTAGGATTTCTCATCTCTCATTTCTTTGTCCCCTTTTCACTTTATAGAAGGGGCCAGAGAAAGGCAAAGCTGGCTGGGGAGTGGTGTTGTGCTAAACAAAGTTGTGTAATACACACTAATGCAGAAACTTAGTGGCTGTCACTTGTAAACCCTACAAAAATCACCATTTTTTTAAGTTGGTGGGTGCAAATTACTCTGGCTATTACAGATCTCATAACTTAATCACACATTTTATTTTCTGGGGTTACTAACGGGTATCGGTGTTAGCACATCCTCTAACTTAGCTGGCTAAAAAGTTCAAACCCTTGATGGCAAAGACTTAAAGAGCTCCTAAAGTATTTTCATGTATTTAAATTAAAAAAAACTAATAAGTTATATTTTAGACAAATACCAGGTAATGCCTAATATTTTTATTAAAATACTGATGGAAACAGAAAAAAGTAAACTCTAGGTCTAACTGGATTGCACACACATATGCAAAAAACCCACCAGAAACTGTACTGTCTTAGCTACAAAGCTGTTTCACTCCTCATTTTCTGTGCTTGAGAAAACAAGGTCAGAAAGCTATGAAGCTTCTCTGACTGAAGAGGAAAGGCTGGGGCAGGATTTCTGGAGTCCCATCCAGCTCTGTAAGTGGAAAGATTAAGATTAGGACCTTATGGCTGGGAGAACAGAGTTGAGGAATACTCTGGATTCACTCCTGTCCTAAGGGAACAATTTATTCTTTCTGGCAAACTTGGCTCGTGGTTTTACTAGATAATGAACTCATCAGTCCAGTCCTGTACTCAGCATTTTACAGAATCAAGGTCTTAGGCACAGCGAAGACTTCAGATAAACATGGAAACAAGGAAACACTTGTATTTCCATTTTTTATCTATGTATTATTTTCTTTGTTAAATTCCTTGGGTTTTCTTTTTTTTTCTTCAGAATAGCTTTCCAAAATACAAACTAATAAGAGCCTGGAAAAGACAGAGCCACCCTAACAGGCAAGGGAAAAACTCTCAGTGCACTTTTTATTCCATATATGAATTAACTACTGGGAGTATTTACCAAATAAATAAATAATAATAAAAAAGATCACCAGCAAGATACCGAATTTTGAACGTAACACTGAAATTTTTAAAACTGCACTTCAGAAAACATTGTCTGAACAGCACCAGAACATTAGAAGGTTGTCCGAGTTCCCTGTTTTCTGTGGCAAATTTCCACTGATGGCAGTAGACAACTGGGGCAGGGGCTGAAGATGTAAAAGCAAATAAAACTAAAGATTCTTGGTAGCTACTTACCTACAGTAGCTATTCATTCTCCTCTCTTATTTTTTTGGCTCAGTGCTGTTTTATAATACCCTTGACCCTACCATATAATTTCAAGGACATATAAATTGATTTTAGTATTAGCTTGGTTCCTTTCCTGTATTTGGGTCTTATAGTGGATATAAATGACAAACAAGCATGCTACAGCATTCACAGGAGCTGTGGTCCATCAAACTGGTGACTCTGAATGAAGGCTGCTTTAAGTAACGCATATGAACATGCAAACTGTCTCCAAAATGCATGGTCATATTAAATAAGTCTCTTACCTATGTACATACAGACAAGTAACAAAACTCAAATATCATAGTCCTACCCTCTTCTGTTTAAGATTGCAGTTTCTATCTGTTGCATATACTGTAGCTGCTCAAAGACCTGAATAAAGTGAGTGATGCAGACTTTTTCAGAGAAAAACAGTCATATAAAAAGTTGTAAGTACGGTACAGTGAGAAAGTTCCCAGAGCTCTAACTTCACTTTCTCTTTGGTTGCTAATTAGGATTTGACAAGTTTGAAACCCTGTCCTGTGTCCAGCACCGTGGGAAGAAACCAACTCATTTTCAGTCTTTTCAAGCACCTAAAACACGCTTTACAGACCCAGAACAGATTGAGACCACAAAACCAGTTTGCCAAATGTACTAATGGATAAGTGATACGTGGGAAGTATATCATCCAGTGTTTGGCAACATCGCTTCCCGTTGGCAAATGCAACGTGTAGTCGCTCCAGTGTTTTGACACACCATACACTGCTTTCACTGTACGTCCCTTCTCGGACCAGCTGATGTTACTGTCGGGGTTACAGTTGTACTCAACCCACTGCCTGGTGAAGTCACCAAGCTGTGGAGGGTCTGCTTCTTCAATGTCTACAACTCTGGCCATTTCTGCTCCTTGCACAGCAACATACTGGTCATTTACTTTTCTTACTTCTTTAACCCAAGGCTGAGAGTTCTCACAGTCTAAAACGATGATGAGTCGAGAACAAAAAGTGCTGTTCTTTTCTCTCCACCACTCCAACAGTGTGTCAAGCCGTAAAGCATCACCCCCTGCCACAAGGAAAAAAAGATTTAATATTAGGACGAAGAAACAGAAACCTCTGTAGAATTTTGACTGCAGGTTCCAGGAATCCCTTATTTTAACAACCTGGACAGATATAACAGAAGTTCTCAACTGATCCTCCCTCTCCAGAGAGGTATGAACTGATTCCACCTGACGTGCTGTGGCAGCGTGACAGCCTATTAAGAAACCTGGAAATAGCTAAACAAGAAAAGAAAACCTGAAATAGAGTTTATTTTGTATTAAATCATAGTAACTTGAAGAAACAAAAAGGATTATCTTTAATATGTTTTAATTAATTTTTAAAAGGACTCCAACCTTACCCTCACCAACTGTATCCTGGGCCAACTGCATCCTGGGCTGCCCCAAAAGAAGCATGGTCAGCAGGTCAAGAGGTGATTCTTCCCCTGCACTCTGCTCTCATGAGACCCCACTTGGAGTACTATGTCCAGCTCTGGGGCCCCCAACATCAGAAGGACGTGGACCCATTGGAGCAAGTCCAGAGAAGGGCCACAAAGATGCTCAGAGCGCTGAAGCACCTCTCCCATGAGGACAGGCTGAGAGACTTGGTGAAGGGAAGGGTCCAGGGAGAGCTTATAGCAGCCTTCCAGTACCTGAAGGGGCCCTACAAGAAAGCTGGAGAAGGACTTTCTACCAGGGCGTGTAGTGACAGGACAAGGGGTAACGGCTTTAAACTGAAAGAGGGCAGATTTAGATTAGATATAAGGAAGAAATTCTTCACTCTCAGGGTGGTGAGGCACTGGAACAGGTTGCTCTGAGAAGCTGTAGATGCCCCATCCCTGGAAGTGTTCAAGGCCATGTTGCATGGAGCTTTCAGCTCCATGGTCTAGTGGAAGGTGTCCCTGCCCATGGCAGGGGGGTGGGAACAAGATGATCTTTGAGGTCCCCTCCAACCTAAACCATTCTATGATTCCATGACTCGTCTTTTAAGGAAGAGAGGACTTCTGAACACAACACATGCTAACAGTTTTGAAGCAGAACGAGAAAGCCACCTCCAGGTACAACCATCACTTTAGCTTGAAAAATTCACATGACCAGAAATGGAGAGATTCACTCTGTAGACACGGTTGTCTTCAGAGCTTCAAGAAACTTAGAATTGGTATGGATTTACAAGTCAATGAAACAAAAACCTCAGAAGAATTTTTCCACAGTATTTATTTCCTACCAGCTCAGAAAACACTTGCAACTGAAGTGTCCAACTTCTCATGTTCCTTCTCTGCTCTTGCTTCAACAATGCTTCAAAAGAGCAGACTGTAATTAAAGTTACCTATAGCTGGGAGTCCTTCTGCACAAGTGTAATGGATACTGCAGGATCTATGTAGCTTTGAAAAGCAGACTACTTACTCAAGTGCCTAAGGAAAACATCTTGCAAACAAGTGAATAAAACTCCATTGGCTCCACAGTGACCATTAATGTGAAGAACTGATATGGCTAGGTGTTGGCAGGTTGGAGCTATGATACAGATTTACAATAAAAAAACCTCTAATTTGAAAATGTCAACCTTAAAAAAAATGAAGACTTTTAGAAAAAAGGTAGAAAAATGTTATTAAAAATAACTGCATTTTAACTCCATAGTGATTTTTATTGTGGAATATAAGTACATTTAGCAGTGTTTAAAATCTTGTTAGTAGGAATTTAACTGCATAGATGAATCTCAAACAGAACAGCTGCATATTTCAGCACTTACATTTCCACCTGTAAGGGGGGACAAAAAAGTGCTTCAAATTAATAGCTCAGAGTTAAAGCTTTGAGCATGCTATCACAGTTAAAGTAAAAGCAAAATTACAGGGCTACAACTTTCTCAAAAAAAAAGCAAACCTGGAAAACTTAGTATCAAAGAAAATTTTAATATACAAACCTACAGTAATGACTTGTCTTGGTATATGATCCCCAAATTGCTGTAGTTATTTACAGCACAGACTTGTATAGAAGCAATTTCCCTTTTCTAGGTATGCCTTCTGTGTCAATTAGCAGTAAAAATGTCTTTGTTCACGTTTTAAAGGCTTATAAATAAACTTTATTTTAGTGTAACTATGCAGGGGTGCAGGTGATTTCAAAACAGCACTGGACAGAACTGCCCAAAGAAAACCATCTCATCCTTCATACACACAAACACATGCTCAGCTTCTAACCCTACTGACCTCAAACACATGGACTTATCAGCCAGTGCAAGATTTGGGCACCAAGCTGTGTAAGAAAACCATGCACCTGGCCACATCTGGCTCTTTGACAGGTTTCGCAGGCAGTTAAGCTGACAGTTTCATTAGCCCAGGTCTTGCCTTTGCCTTCACTCAGAGAACGTGACCTCCCAGGTCATTTGGCTGCTCATACTTTATGCATGACTAGTTAACAGTTTCTTTTATACACCACTGTGCTACATCTCAGCTTCCAACAACAGAGAAACATCGTTAGTGAACTAATGAATCTGGTAAGCCTCCTTTAAAAGATGTCACTATAAAGCAAAGACTACACACACCGCTACTGCTGTATCATGGCATACGTCAGCAGTAAGACACTACTTTTTGTATTAGATCCAAATGTTATATTTCATTGTTGCCATCTCTCTTCATCCTCTCCAGACGTCGAAGGACAGTACACGTTACAGGAGCTGATGACCAAATGCTCCATCTGTCCAAAAATGCCACTGTCCAATACACCCGGTACAGCTACACAAACGAACAGCCTTCATCTTTTCAGTTTATACTCCAAGTTACATTTGGGGGCAGTGCTATCTGGAAGGAGTGTCAGGTTACACTCCACGATTTATCTAAAATTAATCACAAAAAAGGATGCAAGACAGGTTACAGCGGCCTGTTCCTCTCCTTTATGTGGCTACACATATCTCCAAGTAGAAGCTGAAAGATGTGCTTGGATAGAGAACTGAAAAGCAACTTCGTGAAAAAGCTGAACACCATGCATTTACATATCTTTTAGCACAGAAACTTTTCATTTATTGTAACGGTTATCTTGGGCCCTTATCCCAGAAGTGAAGACAAGAGTTTAATTTAGGCCACAGCTACCTGAACAGGTATACAGAGACCTGAGGTCCCCTGTCACACTCCAGGCTGGCCAGATGCAAGCCAGGACTGGTCTGGAAGCTATACAATTTTTGCAGCAACATGTGGCTCTCTGTATGCTACCAAGCTAACCGTGTCTATGGTGCTGGCAGGAGCATGGGCAGGAGGCAGTTTTGCCGCTATCCTGCTCCACGCCACGTGTGGACACACTCAGTGACTGCACAGGGCGGCAGCTGCTCTGGTGGACAAGACCACCTTGTTCTCGGAGAAGTCATTCAGCCACCCTGGCTCTGCACTGTGGTACGTCACTTGTGCTAAGCTCAGAGTGCAACTGTGGCTTTTTAAAATCACTGATACAGATGAAGCCTTTGAGAAAAAAAAATACGTGCTGCTTTTCAGCAGGTGTAACGGTTCAGGCATGGAGTTGCACCAGAACAGGTAGATGGCCTCCAGACAAAAACTGACCTGTGCCTCAGCATGACCACGTGCAAAGATTCCCTTTTTGCACACAGCAACCTCAGAAGCCCAGTTCCATACAGCAGGAGAGCAAGGCTAAACCCACCAATGATTTGAAAACTTTAGTAGGCTTACCAAAGACTACAGCTGAGATAGCACTGCCCATTATAAAGAGATCAGAAACAGGCCAAGAAAAGGGAAAGTGGTGAAGTCTATACTAAGCATACGACGAGGCATTAAACTGGCCCTTTATATAGGGGTTTGTAGTCTTGGGGCTACGCTGCGCCCACAGCGACTCTCAAACTCTAGGATGTCAGCAAACCATAGCTGTTTTCACGATACAAAGTTTGCAGTATGTTTGAAGACCTGCTTTTCTAGTGTGGATTGTATACCTGCCTCCCATTTCTTTTATCGATTCTGTCTTTTACAAAAAAAATAACAGAGCACATCTTAAGGACATGAATGCAGTTCTTTATGACAGCCTAACTCGCAGAGCGACACAGAATGCTGTTTGAATACTCTGCCATGTCCAGGGAATGAGATCATGCTTGCTCATTATAGTGAACAAATACTCCCCAAAATACAGGGGATATCTGTCTTTAGAGCAGAAGGGGGTCATTTCCACTACTTTTCTGGGGAAAAAAAAGGAATCTTTAAAGTTAACTTGCTGAATTGTAAGGGGAATATGAAATCATGTTTAAACTTGTAAGCATGCATTGGGGTCAACAGTAGTTCGACAATTTTGAGAACAAGTGTAAGATTAGATAGCTGCAAAAGGATTTTTATCAAAGTGACTAAATACTGAAATGACACAGAAGTTCACGAAGTAACTGACTGTCATACAGAGCAAGGTAAGGGAAGAGCTGCTTCTTTACATCAAGTTAACTGCATGCAAAAGGAGCTTCTGCAGTTCTCCGTTCTCTCCACCAGCAGAGGCAGGTAGCCTGCTACCTTGCCTGTTTTGATGAGTCCTTGTAGCCCCTGAAGCTCTTAACAGCCACGCTCTGTGTATTACCCATCCCTGTCTTCCTTCCCTGCCAGGGGCTTGTATGAACCTGTTCTCCAAAGACTGGTGGTTCTTTGCCACTCTGGACTATCAGGTAATAAATGTGACCAAAACTTCAAAGTTTTACAATACAGTATGATTTTTTAAAAGAACATTTTAATTGATTTGGAAAGTTTATCAATACCAACTATTAATAAAAAAAAAATCCGCAAACCAGTTACCTGCCAGTGCCCATTCGCCAGTGCCATGTGAGTGACCACTGTAATATAAAATGTAGGTATCGTGTCTGGGTCCATCTGCTGTCCGAAGTTCAAGAAAAGACTTGATCTTGGAGTGCAGGGTATCAAAGGTCAGTCCGCTTGTAGAGTAATCACAACCATATGTCTCAATCATGTGATATGCAAAAAATCTTTGGATGGCATTAAGCATGCCAGTAGACCTCAGATTTAACTCTTGTACATGCTCAGGCGGAAGAAGAGTTGGTTGGCCATCAGGACTAAAGAGAAGAAAAACAGCTATGATTATGATTTATAATTATTTCATGCTTAGCGGACTTTCAGCAAATTATGATGTTTTTCCCCTGTGCGTATTTTCTCTGCTGTGAAGTAGCACCCTTCTAAGTTCAAATTGATTTGAAATGTACAGTTTTTAAACAATTCAAAATACTGTATGAGTGAGGGACCATTATCTCCCCCTCCCTCTTGTCACACTTCCTCACTTCAAAGCGTAGTCCTTACACAACTCCATGCAACTCCCGCAGCTGAGAAGCAGGGAGAGAGAGGGGAGCTGTGATGTGAAGATGCTGGGCTTCAATGATTTCATTTAAGTCTCACTGAAAGAGCACTGCCTTCAGACAGGCATTTATTCACACAGAACTGGAAAGAAGAGCACGGAGAATGAGTGTTAGTCTGCACAAAACATTATGCAAACTAGTTTCCAACAACAGACTAAAGAGAAATGCAAGTACACACTTTGCTCAGATATTTTTATTAATTTCTCTCTGTTCCAAACTAGCCTTTATTCAATATGGTACTCATGGAAATACAGTAATTCTTACTTGTGTGTGCTGTTCAGATGGTGACCTTTCAGCATAAGAAATATGTTTCAGATTATGGTATTTACCGCTTAGAAAACGAAAGTTCTAAGAAAATTACAAACTAGACCTGGAACAAACCACATATATATAGATGTGTGTGTATATAGATGCATGTGTGTCTATGTATATATATGAATATGCATATATAAGAGAAGAGCACCTGGGTTCTCTGGGCAATGGACAGATTTTCTGGATGAAAACACAGAGATGGTCTTACTCTTCTAATACAAAATATTAGTTGTTTTTTATATATATTTATGTATGTATATATGTATTCTTCATGTATTTTGTCTGGAAGTCCATGTGTAAAGCTACTTGCTTTCTTTTTTGGTCTAGCTAATTAAATTTTGCACTTCCTCACCTGTCTAGTGCCTTCATGAAAGCTAACGTTGTACTACTACAATTACATTGAATACATCAGTATCAGTGTTTGTCTCAGCGAGTGAACACCAGGCCCATTACTGAAACAGTCAAGCTTTGTTAATAAGGGAAGTTTAGTTCTGTCAAGTCCTAAACACTTGCTCAAGAGTATCTCATTCACTCAGATATTAGATGGTATTGCAATAGCCAGAATAATAGAATACAATGAAAGTATTAAATCATTGCCATGGAAACAAAAAGAATTTATTTCTATTGTAATGTAAATTTTGAAAATTTATTTTTTTTATCCCTAACAATACTTGACTAAATGGATTTTTTTTTTTTAAAGACTGCACAGCTAGGGACTGTAGATCAAAGCTCAGAAAATTTGTTTTTACAATGTTTTAGACTATTTAAGATACAGTGATCTGAGATCAGCACGCTAACTTCTGTTTCTTTGCCTGTTTATTTTTTTCCCTACCCACTGAATCCATTACACATACTGCAAGCTGGGCAGTTTCCATAAACTGAACAGTTCTATTTTTAAGCCTCTCCTTTCAACTTACCACTTTGTTTCTCTTGTAACTCAACCAGGTAACTTACACAGCTCTCGTTTATCATTTACAAAAAAGATGTGTACACACAATTTTAATTATACAGCTAAAGTGGCATTTGCAAATTTAAAGCTTATAAGAAAAACACACAAATGGGCAAATAATTATAGTACAATCCCCCCACTCCCAAGCACTTCTCATACGGTAACATTTATATCAGAACAAAAATCAACTGTAAGTTCACAATACCAGTAACTGACATGTAGTCCACTTGCAAATCTAATTTCAATGTCTTCTAAATGTAGACACCATCTCATTTAATAGAATTTAAAATTGGTTTAAACCGATCTGTTTGGTTTATTCAATCTCGTGTTATAAAATAACTGCAGTCAGTCAAATGCCCCATCCTCCTTTGCGTGAGATATGGACTGTGGAATCTGCCTATGCACAACTGATGCATAAAGCATTCATTGGCCTTCTTAAAAGCAAATTAAATACGTGTAAAAGTGTGGAGTTTGGAGTTACTCATTCTTTTTGGAAGGTGAGGGAAAGGAAAAATACAAAATCTGCCTATTATTTAAATCTGTATGTAATTATTGAAAAATACAAGCAACAGCACTGCACTGCACTGCCTCTACAAGCTAACAGCACGATTACACTACTGTGAAGCTGAAATATGTGGTAACTATACCTGCAAAAGTTGGTGGGAATCACAACAGCATACCCAACACAGGTTCCTCCCAGACAGTTTCCCAGCTCGTGGAAAAGCCCATGAGCCATGGACTCCAGAGGTAACACGATGAGAAATGCACTCATGAAAATCCCATTAGTTGGCTAAAAAGAAAACAGAGATATTTAGGTATTCCATGATCCTTCCTATCTGTTGGTTATGGTTTTATGAATAGTTCCCTGTGTTTGATCAAACATAATTGGGTCCTGAAAAGTTATTATACGTAATATACAGTTATTTTCCCACATATTACATGGTGAAGTACTCTAAGGACAAATGAAGAAACAATCTGGGGGTTTGGGGAGAAGGTGGCTGGTAGGCAGGGATCACTCTTCTGAAAGGAAGGCATTTAAAAACAGTAACAGCACGGGACCTAGGTTTAAAAGCCCTGATCATAGCTTAGCTTTACCTATTTGAGCAGGAAAATCAAATGTCACAGAAATATTTATGTGCATAAAATAGGTGTATCTGTAAATATCTTCAGCATCAGCCCTTCATCAGTAAAGTACAACACAGATTGTTATGTATCTAGCATCACATGATAGCATACTATACTGCACCATTAAAAATATAGATTTAACTATTCTTGCTTTTTAACGCCAAGAGTTTTTAAAATATCCTTTGTGGAATGGTACATATCACACAGAAGGTGGTTTGTGAGGACATTTATGAACTTCATTGCAATTAAAAAGACAATTCTTTATCAGCTACATAAATATCAGATGAGAAGGGACATCTACTACAGGACTTTGTGGCATTCACGCAGCTACACTGCACTACATTGAGCTTTCCTGTAAAAAGCAGTTTTGGAAAAGATTACACTCACCATTACACAGATGATTTCTGTAAAAAAAAAGAAGTTTCAAAAGTTATGTATCAACCACTAGTACTAGTAAAATAAAAATGGACTGCTGAAATGCTAGCTGTCAGTGAGAGGCAGAACAGGTACAGATTCATTTTAATTATTTTAATATGATGTGAATGAGTTTAATGAGGCATTAAATGCTTTAGGAAAGGTAGAAATGGTATTATATAATTAACCAAGAACTGTAATATACATGGTGCGGTTATTAAATATTAATGTTTGTTACGTAGCAAAGGAAATAAATTCCTAGCTACGGATTTCTGTCTTGAGAAGAGTCCTGTGCCCTTTGACTCCACCTATGTTTTATTTGCTCTCTTTGCCTAAATCTACAATATTAATATTTTTTAAAAATCTGGATATTGCTTTACTATTTAACACTCAGTGATTTGATGTGGACTGGTAGTTCAGCTTAACACATAGACAAAGCTATAAATAATTTGCAAAGTAAATGACACGGAAAAAAGTTACACCTAAACCAACTCAGTTCTTGTTGACACATGGCACTAACTCAACTATATTCAGTTTGGAAACACGTCACATGACTTAGTCTGAAAGAACAGCTTTACCCATCTAATGTGCTTCCTGCCCTAAGGAAGAATACTGTTTGCTACCTGTCCCTTTAAGAAGTGTCCCATTATACTTCCGATGGAAGGATCTAACCTATGTATCCTTGAAATGGTGACAGCAATACTTCTAAGCACAAATAAACACCAGAATCTGATATTAACTGATAACTAACTGATGGCATTATTGATAGCACTATTCTCAAATAACTGGGAACTGTTAACTGATAGCGTTATTCTCAAATTCCAACATCTGAAACCACTATAAAGCTATACCCAGCTCCTCCTATGCTTTATATAATTCACGACAAATTGAAAGTTTATTTATTTAGCTTCTACCTCTCAAGGACATGAGGACATGATGATGAGCAGACATCAAATCATGTTACAGAACAACCACGGAGAGCCTCCCTTTACCCACAGCCCTGCACACCTTATCACAAAAATGCAATTAATATGCTCGTTGACTTGCTAACATTCGAGCTACAAGACTGGTTCGGCTGTAACAAGCCCATCAGCAGGTGATAACGCTGGTGTTAATACTGCAATCCGATCTCATATGGTATCGTGTAATTTGATGTTTTGGTGCTAATAATTGGCATGTACAAGGTTTAGAACAATGTGTGCCTATGAACTGCACACACATTACAGGACATTCAGAATCACTTTCATGTACATAAATTTCTTAGCCATCTCAGGAGGCACTTTGCATCATTCCAGATATATTCCGTTCCCTGTCCCAGTCTTGCCTAAACTCAGAGGGTCAGGATCAATGAGTGAGCAGATGGAACGTAATTAGGACAAGTGCAGAGAAGCATTCACATAGTGATTCTCCAGTTTTATGTCAGAGGATAAGGATTTTCAGAATAATTTCCCCCAAATCCATACAATAACCTGAAATCACCAGAAGACAGGAAAGCTTAAAACACTGTAACAACTATGGTGCAACCTCAACTCGTTTTGCTGTCAATAAGGAGAAAAAGAATCCTGTAACTAAAACAATAAAATTTTTGTTTCAAATTTATCAGCAGAAAGTGCTCATTTTTGTTGCTCAGTTTTCCAAATGCGCTCATAAAATGAAAAGGACTCAGAGCAGCAGCAATAAACACAGATTTGGTTAGTTTTCGTTCTATAGAAACCTTATAAAATATAAGATTTGATGAAACAGTGGAGTGCTCTAGCTAAATTAGTTGAAAGATTTGGAGACTGAGTTTTGCAATTTTAGATACAAGGATAATTTGCTTTAAGTTAAAAAAAAAAAAAAAGGAAGACTTGGATCCTGCAGAAACTGAATGGCTCGTCTGGAAAAGCTTCCTATTGATGATTGGTTAGTTTGAGGGTTTTCTAAACCTTGGGAAGACTGAATGCATGGACTGGGAAGTATTACAATGCATTTTTATGACAAATTCAGCTTTTCCATCGTATATAAATATGACATAAATAAATATGACTTTTATTGGATCTTGTTGGAGCAAGCTGCTCTTACATTGGATTACTGTTTTGATCACAGTGAACATATTACAAAATAAAAACCACATTTGCCCATAAAAACTACAGCCATCATAATACCCCAAAGAATACTATTGCATTATTACTTTATATGAATTTTATTGTAGAATCTTTCTTACAACATGCCATGTTGTTCTAAACACTCCCTGCATTTCCCCAATCCCCTAAACCCATGCAAGTTATTAAGCCCACAGTGTTCTGCAATAATGCAACTTCAGATCATCACAAAGTTTAATAGTTTTCACCAAACTTCTGATTGAGTCTGACTTCTAAAAAAATATTTACATTTAATTGTTGAAAGTACTCCTACTAATAGGAAGATACTGGCAAGAAAATTCACAAGTACTTGTGAGATAAGGATCCTACATAGAGACTGTAAGGATCATCTCAGTGATCCATCTTGCTCTGTATCCTGCTTTGAGTTTGTACCAAATATTAAAGAGGCATGGGAAATATGCTCTATAGTGTTATGAATCAATTCAGCTCCATCTGAAGTTTTAACTTTGTCTTCATTTAGTGGCCATCTTACGCTATGGAGTAGGAAAGTATTGCTAGTATGGATATTTTACATTTATAGACATCTATCTAACGTAAAGATGCTGGCACTTGCTGTCAGTACTTTCTCAACAGAAAGAAATATATCACTAACAAATATAAAAGTGATTAATGATGTTTAGAGCAGCCCTATAGTAAGATAATAAAATATTTTAATTCAGCACTGCAAAAAACGACTGGTGGCATTTTAAAATACCTAAACTGTAAGAACTGGAAATAGCAAAAAATAGTATCTTATTAAGTTAGTAATTACTGTAAATCTGGTACCTCTTTTAAGATAACAGTTAAGATGCCAGGTGGAGACTGTCAGGGCTTTACTAAATCCAGAAGATTTGATGACTGGTCCTTAATGGAGCAGATGGCCACGGATGCATAGGCGGAGCCAGAAAGGGATTTTGTTCTTTCATCTGTTCAACCCATTTTCATTCTGTTTTCGACTGCATTGGCAATCTCAGCCTGCAGTACGTCCCTGTACTCCAAGAGCCCATTGATTCCAGACAGACTGCTCAAAAAGCAAACAGAAGACAGGGACCATCTCTGCAATCCCACTGAAAACATGAGAAGCCATTTTATCTCTTAGTCTTTGGGATTTTTTGCCTTCTTCTGTTTTCTTCTAAATGAATATTTAGAAAATACACAGTGTGTTCTCATTTCAAATAATGTAGAAAAGGTAAAAAAATATATACTTCTTGCCTCTGATGACTGAAATAATAGATAAAAAGATGAGTGAGATTCACTAGCAGTATTATCTTTCCACTTATTTTAGCTTTTCAAGCAATGCTTATTGTCAAGTGTAACTGTTAAAACACCAGAAGAATTTAGAGGCATTTTAAAGCCAAGATCCATAATTTTATACTGATGGATAGGACAACTCCAGTCCCAAGGTGTAAACCACTGTCAGAAGTGGAACAATTCTGGAACTGTATTTAACAATGGAACATTACTGACATGTGACTGACGAAAATAAGGAGGAGGAAGAAAAAAGAAAACAAACCCCAAACGTTAGTTTCAATTGGAAGCCGGTCACAAAGACCTACAGAAAAACCTGATTAAAACAGAAACAAATTACTAAACATATGTCAACTAAGATGATCACAGAATCACTGAATGGTTGAGGTTGGAAGGGGCCTCTGGAAATCGTCTGGTCCAACCCGCTGCTCAAGCAGGAGCACGTAGAGCAGCCTGCCCGGGACTGTATGTAACAGACCAACAACTGAGGTGGCGTACAAAGATGCCTTTGTGTATTTCCAAGAAAAAGATTCTGTCCTGCTTTTCCTGAATAATATTTACCTATTTTTATATACCCATATACACACACGCACGCGCAAGTACAAAATAAACAGTTCTGCTTTGCTCCTCTGCAGTGATTTTGCAGAACCAAAGTAGTATATGCTCCATCACGGAGAAGGCTCAGCAGAAAAAGGACAAGATAACTAATCTGCAAATATTTGATGGATAGCTTATTCCAAATGAAAACAAGAGATGCTTATTACAGGTAAAAAGAAGCTTTAAGACAAAATTTGTAGAGTTACAATGTAGATCAACTACCAGAGGAAACTGCCTTATAACACATCACTGAATGAAAGAATAGTCTCTAGAGAATAATCCATTG